CTAGATCCCTCCCTCTGACCTTTTACCTGCATTTGATCTGTTCATTGAGAACTGTCGATGTGACATTGGTCACCTCAATTTCCCTGCCCTCTCATCCAATCCAACCTATCTCCCTCCGAACTGACTGCCCTCCATGCACTTAGATCTAACCCTGACTTTGTTATTAAACCTGACGATAAGAGTGGTGCTGTTGTAGTGAGGCATACTGACCTCTACATTGCAGAGGCTGAGCTCCAGCTCTCAGATACCTCCTCCTATCTTCAGCTGGTCCATGACCCCACCATGGCACATCAGGCCTTTGTATCAACTATGGTAACTGACCTCATTTCATCTGGTTAATGCTCCCCCCCCAAACAAAAAAAAATCTGCCTCCAAGCTGATAGGCCCCCAGACCCACACAGCCCCTCCTTCCAAAAATCTACAAACAGGACTGCCCAGGGCAATCCATTGTTTCAGTCTGCTCCTGCCCGACAGAACTCATCTCTTTCTACCTTGATTCAGCCTTTTCTCCCCAGTCCAGTCCCTGCTCATGTATATCCGTGATTCTTCTGAGGTGTTAAGCCAGGCTGCAGCTGCCGCCTCTTTACCATAGATGTGCAGTCTCTTTACATGTTCATCCCCCACCAGGATGGTCTCAGAACTTTCCGCTTCTTCTTGGAGCAAAGGCCTGAGCCGTCCTCACCCACCACCACCCTCCTCTGCTTGGCTGAGCTTGTCCTCGCCCTTAACAACTTCTCTTTTTACTCCTCTCATTTTCTTCAGGTCAGCGGGTTGGTCACGGGAGCCCATATGAGCCCCAGTTATGACTGTCTCTGTTTCTTCGTGGGGTACGTGGAACATTCCTTGTTCCAGTCCTATTCCCCAACCCCACAGCTCTTTCTCTGATATAGCGATCATCAGTGCAGCTTCCCCCCGTCATCCGGAATTGGAAACGTTCATTGATTTTTGCTTCCAGTTTTCACCCTGTCCTCACTTTCACCTGGTCTAGGTAATGTACAGAGCTTCATAACCAAGCAGCTGAAGCCAGTTATGTAGTCGTTAAAATTGGTCACAGTCATGAGGCTAGAATTGGAGCAGCACAGATATCTTAAATGATTAGAAGCACAGACTTGCCAGGTTAGATGACAGAGAAGGGAAACCCTTGTAGATTTAAAATTGGAATGAAAGAAAATGAAACCTGTAAAGGTCAGCAGGCAGAGGGGTGATGATTGAACAAGATTTGTTAAGAATTAAAACATAGATGTCAAGTTTATAGAGGGTAGAATGTGCAATGCCAGCCTGGAAGTCCAGTCAGGAAATAACAAAGATTTGATAAGGGTTTCAGCAGGGGATGAGCTGAGGCAGAATGGTGTCAGGCAATGTTATAGCATTGGAAATAGCTGCATGTGTAGTTGGAAGCTCAACTTGAGGTCAAACATACACCAAGGTTGCAAACAATCTGGTTCAGCCTCACAGTTTCAGAGCCAGTGATTGCGTCAGTATCCAGGAAACAAAAATTTCCCACAGGTTTTGAAGACTTTGGTCTTCACTGTATTTAATTTCATGAAATTTCTGTTCATCCAGCATTGGCTATCTGACAAGCAGTTTGACAATTTAGCCGAGTTGTTGGTGAGTTAGAGCTGGATGCCATCAGCGCGTGTCATGGATGCTGCTGAATAAAAGTGAGATGACATGACTTGAGTATTTTGTGTGTTAAACTTTTGTGTTTCATAACTTTGCTTGGCTACTCCATGTACTGAATGTACACTGTCCTGTGAACACAGCAGCAAGAAGTTGCATTTATGCAGTGCCATTGCAAAATGAAACAGAGCACTTGAGGCCAAGTCAAGATAAATGGTTGCTAAGCCACGGAAGGGGTGTGGTTAGCAAAAGATTAATTAAAAATGTTTTTTTTCCAAGGGGCGTAGAGACTGAGTAAAGTAGAAAGAGATGAAGCAAACTGTGCAGACATTCCGTAATGTTGGGGTGAATGGAAGAGGAATGCACCAAATTGGGTGGTGTTGTGAGGAGAATGCAAGGGGGTGTTAAGGTAATTTAAACAAATTGAGTGGGCAAACACATGGCAGATGCAGTGCAGCATGTCAAAATTGAAGTTATGCATTTCAATGTGAAAAACAGAAAGGAAGAGTATTATTTAAATGGTAATATATTGGGAAGTATGAATGTACAAAAGGATCTGGGTGCCCTTGTACACCATCAATAAAAGTCGCTGGATAAATGCATCAGGCAGTTAGGAAGGCAAATGGTGTATTGGACTTCATTGCAAGATAATTTGAGTTCAAAAGTAGGATATCTTGCAGCAGTTATACAGGGCTTTGGTGAGACCACCCCTCGAGGATCATGTTTAGGTTTGGTCTCCCCAGCTAAAAATATACCTGACATAGTGGGAGTACAGTGGAGGTTTATTAGACTGACTTTGGGCGTGGCAGGACTGCACTGTGGAGAGACATTGGTTCAACTGGGCCTGTAGTCACCAGAGTTTAGAAGGATGAGAGGGGATCTGATTGAAACACGCAAAATTCTAACAGGGCTAAATGGACAGTTGCAGGGAGGATGTTTTCCCTCCCTGGTTGAGGAATGTAGAATTGGGGTTCAACATTTAGGTATGCCATTTGGACTGAGATGGAGGAAAAGTTCTTCACTCAAAGGATGGTGAACCTGTGGAATTCTCTACCACAGAAAGCTGTGGCAAGAAAGAGGCCATGTCACTGAATATATTCAAGGAAGAGATAGATACATTTTGAGATTTTTAAAGGAATCAAGGTATGGGAAAAAAAAACATGAATATGGCAATTTGAGAACATCAGCCATGATCTTATTGAATGGTGGAACTGGTTTGAAGGGTCAGTTGGCCTACTTCTAGTTTCTATGTTTTATATTTTCTAAACCACAGCCAGAGGAGGGAAGTATTTGAGGCGCTGACTGCTAAAGTTTAGAAAGGAAGAGGCTGAAGCTATGATCTGAGATGAGAACAATTTATGAGAAAAGAAAGTGAGTTTGGAGATGGTGAATCTAAAGGAATTAAGTCAGTTTGTAAAACAGTTTGTTAGCAACATTTTTTTGATGATGCTTATTAACTGTCTGTTCAGACACACAGAGTTGTGAGCCAAAGTCCAGTTGAGTTGATCTTGTGAGGTACACATTCAAAACCTGTCAATTAGAGGCTTTCTAGCGCTGACTAAATCGGTCACTCTGCTGGGAGAAATTCTCCCAACCACTCCTAAATGGATCAGAAGGTGGAAGTGGTATCAGACGACAAGGGAGATACGTGGTGAAACAGGGCGCATGATTCGTGTTTCATAAATAACTAATAAAGAAGCTGTGGGACTTGTTAATGTCAAAATGACAGCCTTCTCTGTGCATATTAGCAAGACTTATACTTCTGTGCAGGGTACATTATTATCAAGGAAATGGTATAACAATATAAAGGGGGATGACCAAATTTTAAACTCTGGTCATTTGTAGGGAGAAATTGCTATTTTGCCCAGATGCTCTGTTTATCATGAGGTGCATGAGTGACCTGTGACCTTAAGCTTCAGCAAAACATGCAAATTGCAAGAAATCTGTTATTTATGCTAAAACTCCTTCCTAACCTACTTTGACCTTTCTCTACTACTCAACATAATCTTTTGAGAGAATATTTTGTCAAAAGGGCATCACTGCAAAGTTTCAGACAGATGTTAGACCTATCTTCTCAGATGCTACGTGGTGATCTGCAGTGCCAGTCTAGAAGTACAATTGAACCTACTCGTAAGTGACAGCTGATTGGCAGTAATTGTACCACAGTCAGTCAGTAGATTCCATCATAAGGATCGCAGCAAAAACTTTTCTTTCTGATTTGAGTTACCAGCGGGCAAGACATGAGACATAGCAACTGGAGTATGCCATTCAGCCTATTCTGCCTGCCTAACTGCTCAATATGATCAAACATTTCAGTGCCATTTACTCACCAAGTCCCCATAACTCTGATTGCACCCTGGTAATCAGAAATCTATCTCTGCCTTAAACATTGAGACTAACTACCCATAGCCCTCTGTTGAAGAGACTTCCAAAGATTCGTAAAATAATTTCTCCTTAACTTGGAACTAAGTGGCATCCCCCTTGCTTATAAATAGTGTCTCCTTGTTCTAGACTCCCCAACCATGTTAAACATCTTACCTGCATTTACCCTGTCTGACTTTTTAAGTATTTTGTAGGTTTCATTGAGATCACCTCTCATTCTTCAAAACTGGAGAGAATACAGGCTCAGTTTCCCAATCTCTTCATAGGACAGACTGCCATCCTGGAACATCCTGGTGAACCTTCATTGCAATATCAAAAAAGCGACACTTCTTGGATTCTTCACCTTTGCCAAAATGTTGGTTGTTCTCCAGCAAGCACTTTGGTGCAGCATTGTCCAATGGTGAATATTAAGAATTACAGTGGAGGAAACAGAACAGCTAGAGGAGCTCTGGTTGTTAATAAGGTGCACATTATTACAACATCATTGAACATGGTGATTTCACACTCCTCCACATCAATTTCAGTGTGTAATACATAAAGGTATAGTCACCATAGTCTGACTAGACCATAGGCTGTCCTGCCAGAGAGAGAGACAACTGGTGGTGGTTTTGGGGTTGGTGGTTTAAGGATCACCGCACCTCAGGTGAGGGCAGAGGCTGAAAAGGAACTAACACAGTTGTGCACTATATTATACACTAGCTATCAAGAAATGTGGTCCTTTGAAATATAACTTCTGAACATGCTTTTCTTATCAAAATATACTGCTCAAGATGGCAACTGCAAGACATGTGAATGTTGACATAAAATTTGATCTAATGATAAAATATATTTCTGACAATGGTAATGTTTGTTAACTATTTCCACTATGTAGATTTTATAATGGTTGTGGAAGCCCATGACAGATATAGTTATTTGCTTGGTTTACCTTAGTTGCTGTTTATATAATGCAGTGTAATGTCCATTCTTGTTCATTGCTCAAATTGTCATCTTTTAACCAGTTTGTTAACAAAGGAGTGTCTTCTGATCCAGTGGAGGATATGGATACTGAGGAAGCACTACGAGAGTTTGATTTTTTGGGAACATCAGAAGAGGAAGGTGCAGGAGAGTTGAGAAGTACAGGCAGTGGAGCAGAATGGGGTAAGATTTCGCAACACTTTGTTATGACAAAGACAGTTGATCTTACTTGCCTTCAAATTTTGTTTAAGGTCAAAAATTGTTGCACATAAGAGGAATGCATTAAAGATAACCTTCTTCAGTTCAAGAGGTTTTCTTGATGCTTCTTGATAAAGGACAAAATACACAAATATTTACCAAAGTGAATCTGCATAAACAAAAGTAGGCATATTTATGACCATCTTTCTAAGATAAATATCATCTGCTTCATCACCATTTTATACTTCCTGCAACATGTACTGGATCATCTTGAATTATTATGGATCATCTGAAAGTGTCATTGACTCAGGGTGAATTGCAGAATATGTTGTTTTCTTTCTAAAAATAGAAGTGTGTTGGTCACTAGTTGAGCTATCCTGGAAATAAGTTCTGTTTTTTGTGTGTTGCATTTATTATTGTGCAAGGAAAAACGGCGTGATTTTCCTGTTACTTGGGATAACTTTAGTTTGCCTCATTGAAATGGAAAGAATATTATCTTAATATGGTTAAAAAGAACAAGAAGGAATAAATGAAGGAACGCATTTTGCAGGGGGGACGGTGGGAACCTCGACAGGAGGAGGGAGCGGCATTGGGAGGACATCGCTGGCAGGGGTAATCATGGGAAGGCGATGGGTGGAATTGGGGAATTCTGGATTGGGAGGAATATGTCAATGGGGGTGGGATTGGGGGAGGATTCTGGGTCAGAAGGAATATGTCAACAGAGGCAGATTGAGTAGAGATACAGGGCAGTGGTACATGCCCTCACATTTCACCTGGTTGCCCCAATGTATTGGTGGGTACTACGGAATACATTGACGAGGGAGGTGTTATGAGGCTGAGTGGATTACAGGAGCGATGCAGAGTTGGGGAATGTATTGATGAGGGTGGGTTCGGAGGGGGCAATGGTGGGGGAAACATGGGGGTAGCATTCTGGGGGATAAATCCGGTGTTCTAGCATGTCATTGAAACCTGGGAGGTACATCAGCATGGCGTTCAGAGCAAGGTTGCTGGGAAGTGGTAGGGATGGTGTTCTCAAGGGACATTGGGAAGGAGAGATCACGGGGGTATATCAAATAGGATGATGGGAGGTAAGATTGGAGGGAACTGTCACTGGGGAGTGGGGGAAAGAGAATGCATGGGAATTTCGAAGAGGTGTGGCACAGTAGAAGACAGAATGGGTCATTGAGCATTGAAGAGGCTTTCAGGGACAACATTACAGGCAAGTACCAGACATTCAGTGAGTCATAGGGACATGACAAGCAGGAGGGACAGATATGATGTGGGTAGCAGAGTGGCACTATGCCGCAGTCGACAGGCAGTGGTGGGTTGGGAGATGTCATGGAAGCTGGAGTATGTATAGAGGTAACTACATAGACTGGTGGATGCTGTACAATGGATGGGGATAGTTGGGCATCATTGCATGTGGATGGTCAGGGTCAGTCATAGCTGCTATGTGTGCTCATTTGTTTGGGCCAGCATGCATGGCAGGGAATTCATGCACAATTTTATGTGTGTGTGTAGGGGAGGGGGAGTACTCACATGCAGTTTGTCAGGTGATAGCATTTTGTCACCTATGCTTGGTTGGAAGAGAGGGCTCATCACACTTACGAGTTTTGTCAGGATCTGGAATGGGCAAGTTGCAACCGTGCTTTGTCGGTGCTGCTGAAGTGTAGGTGTGTGCTGGGTATAGTCATCATGCTGACCAGTCAGTAAGCAGGACAAGGTGGTGTGCTAGGTGGTTGTGGCAGTCATTGTGTATGTATTTTGTTAGATATTAGAAGAGCACAGCGTATGGGACTGTGTTTGAGAATATAAGTGACTAAGTAGTTGGATTTATGGTACTGATAAATTTGAAATTGTTTAATTTTACCAACTATGTGTTTTGAAAGCCTGTTTTAAGTCAAAAGAATCGATTATATTTCTGGATAGTGGCATCTTCAGAATGCTGAAGTTGCTAGAGTTGTGTATGCTCTGTGGTCTCTGTATTTTTATCATACATTAAATTAAAAGTAATGCTTTTTAGAAAAAAAATTAGAGAAATTTAATTATTATGCAGCTAGTTTGAAGATCATTGTAGAGTATTTTGGGTAAATTAATTATTTTGAAAATGTCTATTTAAAAGGCAACAAATGAAAGCAGTGCTACAGTGTGGCATGTGCGGTTGGTGTGAGGGCCAAAAGGAGAAAACTACTGGTTGCACCAGGACAAGGTCACTGCAGTTTCATCATTATCTCTATGGATAGACTTTAACATTTTACAAGTCTAGAACTTTATGGTTCTCGTTGTCTGTGTGGGCACTTTACAAAAACAATCCAAAAGTCTGTTTTTCTCTTTGCCCTGAATCACCATCTGTTTTAAAGATTAAGGAGGTGATAGCCTTGTACTGGTATTGATGCTAGACTAGAAATCTGGAGACCCAGGTAATGTTCAGAGGACCTAGGTTTGAATCCCACCGTAGCAGATAATGAAATTTAAATTTCAAACTATAATTTGGAATTAATTGTGAGCCTAAAATCACTTTCAATTGCTGTAAAAAACATATCCATTTCCCTTAGGGATGGAAATCTGCCATTCTAACCCAGTCTGACTTTTAACTGTCCTCTGAAATGGTAAATGACGTTAAGTAAATAACATGAAATGACACTCAGTTCTATCAGTTGCTACAAAGTCTAAAGAAGAGAACTGAAACCAGACTGACCACCAGGCATTGATAAAGGGACCAGAAACAGCAGTAGTCAACCTTGCAGTGCCTCCTTGTTAACATTTGGGGGCAAGTGCCAACATCGGGAAAGTGGGAAAGCGGTCTTGCAGACTGGTCAAACGATGGCCTAACAGTCATATTCACGGAATCATGCCTTACACACAGTGTCCCAGACAATCGCATCGCCATCCCAAGGAATACGCTGTTTTGCTGGCAGGGCGGACCCAGCAGAGGTTGAGGCACTGCAGTATGCAGTTGGGAGGGAGTTTTTTTTCTTTATTCTTTCACAAGAAGAAGGTGTCCCTGGCTAGGGCATTTATTGCCCATCCCTAATAGCCCAGAGGGCAGTTAAGAGTCACCCACATTGCTGTGGGTCTGGAGTCACATGTAGGCCCAGACCAGGTAAGGAAGGCAGTTTCCTTCCCTAAAGGATATTAGTGAACCAGATGGGTTTTTCCCAACAATTGACAATGGATTCATGATCATCATTAGACTTTTAATTCCAGATATTTATTGAATTCAAATTCCACCATTTACCATTGCAGAATTTGAACCCACGGTCCCCAGAACATTATCTGGATCTCTGGATTAACAGTGCATTGATAATACCACTAGGCCATCATCTTCCCCCGAAGGGGAGGAGTTGCTGTGAGAGTCCTCAACATTAACTGTAAACCTCATGAACTCTTATGACATGAGGTCAAATACAGATAAGGAAACTTTCTGCTGTTTGCCACGTGTGTGTCCTCCTGGCTGAGCAATCAGCACTGTTCCATATCTACTTCGATGAAGCAGAAGGTAGCAAGTGTCTTCCGTGCCCGTTACCAAGAGTGGCTCGGCAGCACTGTTATTGACTGAGCTAGTTGCATTCTAAAGGACATCGCTGCTAGACTGGGTCTGCAGCAGTGTGTGAGGGAACTAACAAGAGGGGAAAAAATACTTGACCTCCTCCTCATCAATCTGCTGGCTGCAGATACATCTGGCCTGACAGTATCAGGAAGAGTGACCACAGCACAGTCCTTTTGTAGATGAAGTCTCAATATCTTCATATTGAGGATACTATCCATCATGTTGTGTGGTACTGTCACCATGCTAAATGGGATACAGTTTGAACAAACCTAGCAACTCAGAACTGGGCATGTACAAATGTGCTGAGGGCCATCGGCAGAACTATACTCCAGCACAATGTGTAACCCACCTGGCCTGGCATATCCCTGCCACTCTACCATCAGCATCAACCCAGGGAATCAACACTTGTTCAGTGAAAGGTGCAGAAGGGTATGCCGGGAACAACACCAGGCATGCCTAAAAATGAAATGTCAACCTGATGAAGTTACAAAACCAGACTACTTGGTGTCAGGGATTGGTGTAAGATAGTTATCAGAGCTAAATGATTCCACAACCGATTAAAGAGATCTAAACTCTGCAGCCTTGTCATATTCAGTCATGAATAGTGATTGACAATTAAACAATCCACTGGAGAAGGATGCTGCACAAATATCCACATCCTCGACAATCTGAGAGCTCAGCACTTCATTGCAAAAGCCAAGGGTGAAGCATTTGCAGCATTCTTTAGCCAGAAGTGCCGGGGATTATCCATCTCTGCCTCCTCCAGTGGTCTCCACCACATACCTATATTCGGCCAATTCGATTCACGCCACACGATACCAAGAAATGGCTGGAGGCACTGGATACTGCAAAGGCAAAAGACCCTGACAACATTTCGGCCGTAGTGCTAAAGACTTGTGCTCCAGAACTTGCCCATACCTAGCCAAGCAGTTCCAGTACAGCTACGACATTGGCATCTATCAGGTGATTGTGCAAAATTGCCCAGGTATGTCCTGTACACACAAAGCAAGAAAAACTCAACCCAACTAGTTACTAACCCATCAGTCTACTCTTGACTATCTGTAAGGTGATGGAAGGTGGCGTCAACAGGGCTATTAAGCAGCACTTGCTTACCAGTAGCCTGCTCCTGATGCTCATTTAGGGTTTCAATAGGGCAACTCAGCTCCTTGTCTCATTACAGCTTGAGTTCAAATATAGAAGAGCTGAATTCCAGAATTGAGAGTGATTGCTCAACATATGTAATGAGGGACATCTTAAAAGCTATTATTGAAGATATTAAAACAAGGCACTTGACTAAGTTTAAGCTAATCATGTGGAGCCAACATGGTTTTGTCAAAGGGAAATCATGTTTTAGTAATATTTTGGAGTTCATTGAAGTGGTATCTTTGCTGTGGATAAAGGAAAACCAGTGAGTGTATTGTACTCAGATTTCCAG